AGACAAGTGAATTATTTCCATCACACTGAAAAACAGAAATCTCATTTTTTTTAAAAAGAGCGGAAAGATTCATACAAGCTTGAAACAGGGAGACAGCGATACAATTGGGAGGATAGCATTAAGCGACGGATAAACAGCGTTTAAGAGCAAAAGAGAAAGGCATAGCGTGTTGGGAGATCACCATTGCAGCCAACCGTTTTTGTGGAGTGGGTTTCTCATCGATTACAGTTTCCAAGGGACACAACTTAACATATCACAGACGCGGGAAACTCCGACATCAGTTACTCGTCCTTACCCGCATAGAACAGCATTTTGGACATGGCTAGTGTAACCGTTTAACGGTGCCGGCGCAATAACTTTGGGAGGTTCAGCGGCGTATCTGGAATCTACCTTGTTGGTTTGCCGTCCAAAAAAAAAAAAGATAATTTTTTTTTTTTTACTCTGATGGTATGGTAAATTTTTAGTTAGCCGGCCAGAGAGGATAAAACGATCTATTAGGTACAATTTACTGTCCTTTATAAGTAACATGATGCGCTCTCTCTCTCTCTCTCTCTCTCTCTCTCTCTCTCTCTCTCTCTCTCTCTCCCTCTCTCTCATTGTACCAGCCCAGGACATCACACAGCAACAAACACCCGGTGACACAATGTGCCACTATGCGGATAAAGATCACTCGTGGAGAGGTCCCAGAAACCACTTTCAGCCGTTAGGCCATATTTATGGCCCGGCTATATTTATGGCCCGGCAAAAGCCAGAATGGGGCTTCAAATAACGAAAAATTGCATCCCACATGGGGACGACTGAGATAAAAATCAAGCTCAAGCCAGACGCGGGTGTAGTTTGAAGATGCGCTGGAAACCATCTCTGCCACAAATATTATGCGACGAAATATAATTATATAACCATAGCTACACTACAAATATAAAGATAGCTACACTACAAATATAAAGACAGCTACACTATAAATATAAATATAGCTGTATGTAACCACAAATATAAATATAGATACACTACAATGAAAAGATTGCTACACTACAAAGTTAGCTTCACTACAGATATAAAGATAGCTACACCTCAGATACGAAGATGAAAGCATAAGCAGTAAGTTACAATACAAATATAAAGATAAAAAAAAAAAGGAGATACCATTAGGACAAATACAAAAACATACACATACAGAAATATAGTCATGTAGGCACAATTAGGAAAGCACAGACAGGCTACTTCCCATAAACATTTAATTACATGAGGCTTAGTAGGCCAGCACATAAGGACGAAACATAGTGAACTATTAAGCAATACATGCTTAAGGAACAGCGTCGGAGATATATAATCAATTGACATCAGTGGTTCCCAAACAGTTATACAGCGTGATGATATCTTCACCGAAATTAACTCTCATAGAGAACCGACTACCCGAAGGAGATATATCTACACATCTTTGGGCATGCCATGAAAATGGTACGCTGGAGTACGTGGTCATAAAGGGAAAGTGGGAGGTCAAAAGAGCTAGAGGCAAACCAAGAGAGAAAAGATGTACAGTTTATTATGGCATGGAGGAACTTCTATATCAGAAATGAGACACAGTACACGAGATAGAAGGCTGGGGACAGGCGCATGGATATAAGCAGAAGCTATGAATTTGCTTCTTTAAAAGTAATGTACTACTTATCTTGCAAAAAGGTTTTTTTTTTTTTTTTAATTCTCTAATGTCCGAAATGGAGGTCTGAAGTATGCATAAGTAATACTACATCATGAGGTTCGAATCTTTTCCATGGTACTATTATGTCAAACGTGTCTGAAAGCTACAAGGGCGGTCTTGTTCTACATACCTATTCAAAGAAAATCAAACCCTGGTAAATAGAGAGGTGCAAAATTTCGATAACAAATAAGGTCTAGCGTAAAGTATATGTACGTCTGTAATCCAAGTAGCAGACCTGAACGCCAACTGTATTAACTTTCTGGTACTAAAAGAGTTAAATCAGCATATTTTTATTTTTCTAGAACTTCTTTTCTTTAAGGGGGTAAAGTGTAAATGGGACCGCAAACCCAACTGCCGGGATCACAGGATCAAAAACCTGTATAGCTAGCTTTACAATAGGAGGAAACCGTGAGGAGTTCATGAAGGAATATGAACCACCATCTTCATGCTAGGCATGAGGGATCTCTCGTGGAGGTGGTGAGCTGCAGGCTGATATTAGAGGTGGTACACTCCATGCGGGTCAGAGAGAGTTGGCTCCACGACGCCGGAGAGGAAGGACATACAGTCCAGAGTCTCCGAGAGCCGATGTTGTTCTTAAGTGCACCACTGTGGGGCATTATTGGGGAGCTCTGTGGATGTGTGTGGGTATAGGTCCTAGTCTGTGTGTTGCCAGGCTAGGCTGTACCTATGTGTCCCGCTGGGTGACTGAATCAAGTTGTCTGCAGGAGTTGCCGCACTGACAAGGCTCCAGCATGATGGGTTACGTGAAGTGAGTTATTAGTCATACATCGAGGTCACGTTACAGGCTGCAGACGGGAGGTCTGGATAGTTAGTTCTTCACAAGATATTGTGCATCGGCCTGTATATCCTCTAGGAACATGGTCTTCAAGATAGAAGAGCGTCCGAGAGACAGTCACGTTAATCACGAAAGGTGGATCTGCGCGATCGGGAACTGATAGCCCAGAGCAGCCACCAGAACATAAGTGTGGCAGGAGGAGTCCTTCAGTCAGCGTCTTGAATGTTTACATAGGCAGACTGAAGAATGGCTGTAGTCCCGAGCATTCATCGTGTATCTTGATGCAAGCCATTTCAGGATGTAGGTGTCTGAATTTAATGCACTGTCTCCGAAAGTAGTTATCTGTTACTGTTTGGCGGGAGCTGTGGGCTGGGACTCATCATCATCATCAGGTGCCTTGCCGACTGGCGTGGGCGATCATGCCTCTCCATAATCCGCGATCTCCTGCAGCATGTATCAGTTCGTGTGCCGACACACCTCCATGCCATGCAACAAGACTGTCAAGCATCTTCTCTCGTTGTCTTCCTCTATCCCTCCTTCCACAGATCTTTCCAGTGGTCACAACATGTTCTATTTTCCCTCTTCTCATAACATGGCCGAAAAATGATGACTGTCTCCTTCTGATGTCAGTGATAAGTTGTCTTCGGTCTCCCGCCTCTTTTAAAACCTCTTGGTTGCTCTTTTTGGCTGTCCAAGGCATTCTAAGCATTCTTCTGTAAAACCACATCTCTGAGGCCTCTAAAAATTGTTTGGCCTGCCTACCGATTGTCCAGGATTCACATCCATATGTTAAAACTGGTTGTATGTAGCAAGCAAGAATTCTTTTTCTAACTCTCAATGACAAGGATATATTGCACAAGATGTTTTTCATTTTATAAAATGCAGTTTTTGCCTGTCCAATTCTGTTTCTTATTTCAGTTATGCATCTTCCATCTGATGTTATCCATGTGCCCAGATACTTAAATTTCTGTACTTGTCTTAAAATAACACCATTGACTTTTATTACACATTTAGGAATTTAGGGCTGGGACTATTGACGTTAAAACACTAACTCTAGACAGATTGGCGCGTGTGTATGTCTCTGGTCCAGTAAGGGTGTGTAGGGAGCCTGTACGTGCATGCGTCAGTCCGACAGTCCCTAGCTGACAGAGGACTCCAATTTTAAAAAGCCAATCAAGAAAACTACTGAAAAAGAGAGAAGTCTGGCTCTGGCGATCTCGCTGGCAATTCTCTACACCCCAAAGTAGAAGAGGAGCAATTAAGTGGGCAAGCTGAGTAACCAGTTTGGGAACCGTTGATCTGCAACAAGAACATGAGCAGAAAGATGAATGAACTAGCAGAACGACAGAACTCCCGACCTAAACTCGCGAAGCTGGCACCCTGTCGGGTTTACCCAATTTCAGGGTTGTGTCGATGACCTCAGGTGTATGGCAGCTGCAGAGATGGACACATGGCGTCTTTTGTCGCACTTCCTGATTGTCCTTTGCCTGTTAATACAATGGTTTTCAAACGTTCTCAGGTGCCAGTCTTTAAAATTTATGGAATGCATGAATAAGTTCAGAAATGACATTCACTGCACTCGGGACATTTCCATACGTGCTCCGTCTCCTTTCTTCAGTAACCAACGTTAAACATATGGAAAGATTACCCCCCCCCCCCCCCCCTTTTTTTTCCCCCGCCTTCCTTTAAATAAATGTGACTAAAAAGAAGAAAACAGAAAAACCCCAAGCATTTTCAAAAAAGAACATGGAGAAAAAAAAAACATTCATATAAATCAATGCTTAAATAACACAATCCCCGGGCTGTTCATTTTATTTACAGTATTTAAAAAATCTTTAATTTATAATTTATTAGGGAAGGGGGGGGGTTTAGAGGGGAGGGGGGGGGGGTATTAGAATAACAGATTATTTCAAGTACAAATGTACTTAATTTTAAAATAAGTTGAGCTTCCCTGGAAAGTTCCTTGTGACCCCTTTTCCCCTTTATTTCCACTGTTTTGATCTGTAATTTATTTCTCTGGAGTCAAAACATGTATACACACACGCAATCTGTGTGTCCTTATCTACCCTTCTCCGGTCGCCTTCTAAATGCTTGTCTATCTACCTGTCCCTCCATTTATCCACCCACACAAACGCTTTACCACAGAAGAAAACAGTACACTACAAGTTGATTTCGGTACCTGACTCTCCGTTTATCCATCCGCACAAACACTTTGCTACAAAAGAAAATACAACACTAGAAGTTTATTTCTGTACTTGTCTCTCCATTTATCCATCCGCACAAACGCTTTACTACAAAAGAAAACACAACACTAGAAGTTTATTTCTGTACCTGTCCCTCCATTCATCCATCCATGCGCTTTACTACAGAAGCCAACAGTACACTAAAAGTTGATTTCTGAACCAAAGCTAACTACTGTGACTTGCTATGCTACAACACAAGGATCTTAAAGAACCATAACTGGTCATGATAAGAACGACACTGAGGATAACTGTCTATACTCACCAAACATCCCAGCATTAGTTCGGGTCCGTAAGTACTGTGGTCCTTTGTTCAGGAGCCGGTCAGGCTGTTTGCCCATGGTACAGGATGTCACCAGCAAAGACATGTCTCAAAATCCTTCAAAGATCAACTCGTACTCCATAAACATACTGTAGCAATGCTAGCAAGTGGCGACTGTGGACTGCCCATAGTCTATCTTCTAGAAACTAGTCATGATGGGGAAACTTCATGGTCTTGACAATCCTTGGCAGAATTCAGTTCTTGCATACTAGGTATCCAGTCTATTAGGAACTGATAGGATCCAGGTGGGAAAGATTCACTTTTGAACTTACTACACTGGCAGATGTGGATGCCACAGCTGATGCAGCTATCTCAGCAGATGTAGGTGCTCCAAGTAGACGTAGATGCACCAGTAGATGTAGGTAACTAGACACATGTAGGTGCTCCAAGTAGACGTAGATGCACCAGTAGATGTAGGTAACTAGACAGATGTAGGTGCTCCAAGTAGACGTAGATGCACCAGTAGATGTAGGTAACTAGACAGATGTAGGTGCTCCAAGTAGACGTAGATGCACCAGTAGATGTAGGTAACTAGACACATGTAGGTGCTCCAACAATTGTGGACGCCATAACAGACGTAGATTCCCTGGCAGATATAGGTGCCCTTTCATATATAGGTGGTGAGACGAATATAGGTGCCCAAACAGTTGTTGATGTGACACTAGATGTAAGTATCTCAACAGATATAGATGCTTTAACAACTGTAGATGGCCAACAGATATAGATGCACCAAAAGTTGTAGATGCACCAACAGTTGTAGATGCACCAACAGTTGTAGATACCCCAACTCCTGCAGATGCCCCAAAAGCTGTAGATACCTCAACAGTTGTTTATACGCCAACACCTGTAGATGTCCAAACAGTTGTAGTTGCCTCAACAGCTGTAGATGCCCTAACAGCTATAGCTGCCCCAACAGCTATAGATGTCCCAATAGTTGTAGATACCTCAACAGTTGTAGTTGCTCCAACTGTTGTAAATGCCTCAACAATCGTAGTTTACCCAACAGCTATAGTTACCACAAGGGTTGTAGATGCCCCCACAGAGAATGATTCTCTGGCAGAACTATCTGATCAATACCACCAACTTGTTAAAAAAAAATGTCATGTTCGAAGTCCAAAACGACTCATCAATAAAAACATTTAAAATCTGCAACTATCTTTTATTTACTTGGCAGCTTCTTGCTCCTTCCAGAAGTCAGACCATCCTGCCATTGGGTCTCTTGCATATGAGGCCCATTAACTTACAATTCTGCCCATTATGCAGTTCTCACCTCAGGATAGTTTTATGTCAAAAAGCACTTAAAAAAGGTCTTTGAGTGTAGTCAGGAATTTGCTTGTCTGTTATCTGGGAATAATATAAACAGAGTTAGTAAAGGAATCTTAAGGGGAAAAAAATGTATTTACATGTTAAGCCGGAAGGATAGACTTGATTGTAGCGGGTTTTATCCCATATGGTTTGATCTCTCTCCGCAGAACAGCTAGCCGCCTGCCAAAAGTGCAACGTAAAGCATGAACTCCGTAGCTCAAATGACGATCCCCAGGGATCTCCATAAAGATTGTACTCGTGAACTGAAGGGCACAGCTGTGGATTGAACCCATGACCTTCAGAGAGCGAGGCAAACAGCTCGACCACTTCGCTAAGGAAACCCCAATATTTACAGGTTAACATAAATAATGGTTTGTCTTAGTAAACAGATTAAACAACATTTATCTTTTATCTTAAAGACCCTTTTCACGCCAGCGACTCACTGGACACATGGTGCCAGACCCATAATGTTATTGACGAATCTGCACTTGAGGGCCGATGTGATCAATATCCTGATGGCCTTCTTTACTTCCCTGACCAATTCCTAGTACCCATGTCAAACTGGGTGAACTGACAGCCAAGGTCAGGTATACAAAATCTGTCACTGTGCAGATTCAATCCCACGACTTTTGGACAGGCGCGCAGGCACCTAACCACAGTGCTACAACCACAAACATATACTGAGTTATCCAATGGCACATATTTATTAACTGACAAAAAGCCCATATGTGTAAAAACTACAAGTGATCCAGGTGCAAAAAAACTTCTAACTGATTGGTTGAACACCGGGGGTACTGTTGTGTGCAGTTTGAACTCTTTCACTCAATAAATTTTAAAAATTTGAAGGTTAAAATTAGGACAAAATTGTGTTTCTTTGAGTATATATATGTTTTTCTATCTGTCTTTTTATCATATATTTGTGTATCGACAGACAGGCAGCCAAGAGGTAAAGATAAAAGAGTGGTGGCAGAGAGAACAGAACGACAGGCGACAAATATGCAAGTTCTTAGGAAGACAGACACACGCAGAGATACTGAGAGGTGGACAGTTAGGTAGATAGACTGGTAGGTTTGTAGATAGACTAAATAGACAGAGAATGTGGTGGCGCATATTCAAATGTATCTATGGTTATTGGGCATTCTGACAGATTACAAGTAGATGGACCAAAAAGTAACTGTGGTGAGAAGAACAGAGATACAGGCAAACGCCTGCAGAAGAAACAATAACAATAGAATGTTACAGGAAAAGGCTTTTGATAGAGTGGATAGAAACATACTGTGGTCTGTTCTTAAGAACTACGGGGTACAAGGACAGTTACTGGATAACATCACAGCCATGTACCACACAAGCCAAAGTGCAATAAGAACACAAGAAGGCATATCAGATATGTTCACAGTCAACATAGGTGTGAGACAGGGATGTGTGCTCTCCCCACTTTTATTTAACATTTGTATAGACAGAATATCTAAAGAAGCAAGTTCTGATACAGACAACATAGATCTTTATAATCCTGAGGAAGTACACACATCAGGAGAAGTTATCGATTCACCCACATTAAACAAACTACTATTTGCTGACGATCAGTGCTTGTTTTACCCTGAAGAAGATAGATTGCAAGACAACATAACAGGTTAAGCTCTGCATGCAGTAAATACAACATGAAGATTAATGCAAACAAAACTGAAACAAGTTAATAGAACCATTGCCCCACTACACATACAGTTGAATGGTTCTGTTCTGAATCAAGTTAGGGAGTTTAAATATCCAGGAAGTATGATCACAGAAGATGGCAGAACTGACAGAGAAATGGAAACCAGATGTCAGAAAGCAAGTGCCTTTAAATACCAATTGTCACCATTATTAAGATATCCAAGCATAACTATGAGTGCAAAGAGACAGATTATTAACAGCATATTCACTGCAACATTAAGCTACCAGTGCCAAATATGGACACTATCTAAAGCTCATCCATATACGCAAAATCACCACCTGCGAGATGAGGTGCCTGAGAAAAGCTGCCAACCTAACAATCCGAGATCGCTTGAATAATGAAACTATCAGGCACATTTTGGGAACCACACCTTGTACTATATTCATCGAGAAACAGCAGATCAAGTGGTTTGGCCATCTCGTCAGAATGCAGCAAGATCAAATACCATCACAAGCACTACATCTCAGACGATTAGCTACAAGAGCAAGAGGATGGCCGCGGAAATATGGATCGACAACATTAAAGACAATATGCCTTCACGACATGACAATAGCCAGTGGCAGCCAACGTGCGCTGGATCACAAATTATTCCTCCCTATGACGCTTAACGGCAGAAGGGGTTTATGATGATGATGATTAACATATATACATGTATTACATAGCCTAATCATTTGCGCCATCATTACCTAATCATCGGCGCCTTTGGCTTAGGCGTTGCGAATGCACTTCATTAATGCCGGGGTGTCGGGTTCGATCCCAGCTGCGAACGATTTGTCTTGCACTGGTTTCGACAGTGGAACCGAGAGATGACCCTTCAGGAAGCAATGGCAAACTACAGCATGTAAAATTTGTCTAGAAAAACCACAACAGCCAACAAATGCTAGGGTTGGTTCTGCAAAGGATAGGCTACTATCATTTGCTAGTACGCTCACAGGTAAAAGCCACTTTGCAAAAACTACTACATATGTACTCAATATAACAAGCATGTGGGGGGGGGGGGGTAATACCCCCACCCCCACAACACACAACCTTTTTCCCCATTCCAGGCCCTTTCAATTACTTATGGACTTTCCCTGTAATCCATATGGACTGGCGCCAAATATTTGTGCGAATTTATTACTAGGGACAAAATTACAGGGACGGTATAATGCCAGAACAACACGTCAACCGGTAATGTACACAACTGTGCCAATGTGGTTTCCTGAAAATGAGAACGCTGATGAGAAATGGAACAGCTACAAAGGTAACTGGCTGGGGCTTACAGCAGATTAAATGCAGCGATTCTCAAGCCATGGAATCGAGTGGTCACGCAGAAACCATCACCGACAACTAGTTAGCCCGGTAAACTACCCCTTTCCATGGGTATGCCGCTAGACCATCCATATTTTATAAGACTGACAGGCACGCCGCCACCAAGGAATCTATCTAAGGGTGAGGGAAAGGGTCTAATCCCAACTTAAATTGTCTAGCTGGCGGAGTTCAAGAGGCATAAGCCTTATTAAGGGTGGTAATAATTTTTACTACTATTTTTTATGTGTCGAATGGCAAATAAATATAATATACATAAAATAATATGAACTTACAAACACATATAGCAATTATGAAGACAAACGTCTATACATGTTTAGGGGAAACCACTTATTCCCATGAAGAGAAATGTATATACATGATTAGGGGAAACCACTTAATGTCATGGAGAGAAACGTCTATTCATGTTAATGGGAAACCACTTAATCCCATGAAGAGAAACGTCTATAGATGTTAATGGGAAACCACTTAAACCTATGAAGAGAAATGTATATACATGTAGAGAGAAATGCATTAAACCTATGAAGAGAAATGTATATACATGTAGAGAGAAATGCATATACATGTTTAGGGGAAACCACTTAATCACATGAAGAGAAATGTATATACATGTTTAGTGGAAACCACTTAATCACATGAAGAGATATGTATATACATGTTTAGGGGAACCACTTAATCACATGAAGAGATATGTATATACATGTTTAGGGGAAACCACTTAA